GATTGATCATTTTATAAAATGAAGTGAAGGTTGCGGATAAAAAGTGATTATCAATCGATGGTGCTTCGAATTATTCTCAATCTTAAGGTCGAGTTCGCCACTTTTGAACTGTGATATTTGAAGCTAAAATTCAAAGAATATGGTGAGTTGGTGGAAAAACGATCTGATAGAAAGTTTCCTCCCTGTGTCTACTTGTGTCCAGGTCCGCCCATATTGCCGAGGTCGCTTGCCAAGAGCTGGAAGGATTAAAATCGACTTTCACATCACCTGGGTTGGCAAGAAGATGTACAGGCTAGCGCGAATCGTGTACAAATGATACAAGGACTCTAAGGAACTTCAGTTCATGGCGCATCCGAAGAGAGATTGATCGACGCCGACTGCTTTATAATTGTGAGAAAAGGGCGAAAGATGGAGTTAACTTATTATCGGAACCTCAAACATTAAAACCGACAGGATCTAATGACTCCCAATGCGCCATGCACAAGACTCCTACCTAGAATTGTGCACATATTCAAAGGGTATGCGACTCGAACAGCGTATAGGGGCACTGTAATACTCATATACATGATGAACTTCACTGGAAGTAGGGTTGATACTTCCATACACCTAAAGCACAGCTCCATAAAAAGTTATTAAACGCGGCTGGTCCCAAATAAAATGTTTCAATATACCTCGGCTAATCGCGCTGCCAGAGGCTCAAACCTCGGATCAAAACTCACCCAGGCCATCCAATCCTTTCCATCTCTACGCAATCGCTCAATCGATGCCATTACTGTCTGGGAGAATAAAAACGCTGGTTTGTACATCAGCCAACCTCCGCAAGTCATTGTATAGACCACCAGCCTAGCGCGCATTCAATGCCACTACGATTTCTGAAGAGAACTAGTGTGCATGGCGCATCCTCTAATGAATCGAAGCTTTATTATTTGAAACTTTATCCCGGTTACGACTTGATTTCATTCACTGTCCCTTTCCTATGAAAAAGGATGAGTGCAACGCAAGTGGGCTGAGCACGCCGTATTTTTCGAATACGGTAGGCGCGAAATGTATGTAAGTGAGGACTGCTGCCGCTACTATGGTGTCACGAGAATTGAGGGAATTCGTGAGCCAGGGGAGTAGCCAATCTAGGGGGTGGGGGGTGAGGGCAGTCACTTGACATGCGTGAAAAGCTGGAATGTGTGAGTTACTTCATAGCGTCTCGTCACGTCATAGTAGCAGGAGCAGTCCCCACTTACATACATCTCGTTCCTACCGTATGCAGAAAATTCGGCTTACCCATCCCACTTGTATTGCAATAAGAAATGGGTCCTTGATTTTGAAGTTCTAAAAATTCTACTCATTAATTTTCTATTCACCGCTAATCCGATGCGGGTTCACGAGCATAAGTTTCCAACGCTATAGATCGATCGATCAGCGGCCGATCGCCATCAGTGTCTGGCCATTTTTGGTCAGCCAAGGTCGCATTTTCCAGTCGACATATTGTGGCCGTTTT